TTTTTTTTTTTGCTAACATTTATAATTATTTAAATGAGCGATGCAACCAAAATTGTTGATGATATCAGCAAAGAAAAATTGTGTTTCCGTGGTGCAATTTTGTTGAACAGCGTCCAGTAAACAATAAAAAAACTGTGACATTTGATTACAATGAATTGTCCCCGTGGTATTATTTTGTCGAATTATATCGGTACATTCCTATAATTCAGTATCGACCAGTAATGATTGCTAATTTTAATGCTACCAATACATTTCTATAATTTAATATCAATTATTTATGATTTTCAATCTAAATGATAAAGCATGAGATTGTTCCATTTGTGATATTATTGTTTGTTTTTTTTTTTTTTTTAGCATTTTTTGCAATAAATATTAGCAATTATATCTTTTTTTAGAAAATGTTAAGATGAAAAAATAATGAATATGAAGAAGTAAAGTTAGCGATGGATAACGAGAATAACGAGAATACTGTTAAAATATGACGAGAAATAATAATACATTTCGATTTCAATCATATAGAGCAATGAAATAGTAATTTAAAACTGTTACAAAAATATTTGAGTTTAAAAAAATTGAAATTCTATTTTAATCAATATTTTCAAATTTCAATATATTTTGATAATATTTAATGCATTATTTTGTAAATAATTAATGATTAACATAATGATTAATGAAAAATTAACAAAAACAATTCAATTTGAAATCTGTAATTTTTAGCATAAAATTTATTTCAAAATTATCATAGATATATAAGTTAGCAATTATAAATTTGGTACCTTTTTTTCAGCGATTATTTTTCTAAGACATGTAAAAGATTCAGACAAATTGTCAGCACCTGTTTTTGAGCAAATTACTCCAAAATGCTCATCCACAAATTCCATCATCTGAAGTTTTCAATGATGGATCAAAATATCGATATTTATTTGATGGTCTTAAAATAAATCTCAGAATTTTGAAACATCTACTAAAATAAACGATGATAAAAATATTAAAAGTTGTTAGCAAAATTCAATTAATCTTTATCAGCAAAGTGATAGGGGGAGAAGAAAACTATTGAAAAAAGTGCTTAAACAAGTTACTGCAATTTATTTTACATTATATACTGCAACTTTGTTCTTTTACATAATATATAAGTAATTTTTTTGCAAATTTTTAAAGTTATCTATTTATAATGAGCTCTTGCAATTATTCCTTTTTTTTTTTTGCAGTATGTGGCAAAGGATGTGCTGGCAGTTTTAAATTTTGATTAATTTTAGCTTTGAAATGATAATAAATACATTTGTGTCAATGATCTAAATGTGTTTTCATTTTATCAAACTACATTATCAAAAGATAATGATTGATACAGTTCAAATTTTATATAACATTCCATTTTTTTTTTTTTTAAAGAATTACCTCTTAATCGTAAGTTTCAAATTTATTATTATACTCTAAAAATATTTGTTTAAAAAATTATTTAATGCCTATATTTCTTAACTAAAGTAAAATTTAAAAATAAATTATGAATTAATAATAATATACGATATTATCTTGACAGTTATCGATAAGACTGGTTGTAAAGCAACTATCGAAGATAACATCCAGAATATCACATAAATCGCTTAATTCTTTTGGATCATAAATTAAAAACGGTAATAAAATATTGTCAAAAGATTGATGTCGATTTTGTATTTTATTCCATAATCTGAAATTGATCGAGTATTAAATTTACTAGCTACATTCATTAATTTTTGATCAAAATATTCTTTTTTTTTTTTTTGATAGTTAAATGTTTTAAATTCATTCCAATGATATTTGAAATGAAATTTAAAATTTTTAATATAATTGAAAAATTCTGTGATCGCTTATATGCTGAATTTAAATAAAGAATTTTTTTTTTTTTTTTGAACAAACTCAATCATTGGCGCATAACATTGAGCGATTTGTTCTTTTTGCTTTGTTGTACACGTAAGTGATTTAGCTGCAACCAATATTTTTATTTATACCATTTAATTTTTAAAAAATAATCAGTAATTTGAATGATAATGATTCTGATATCAGAGAATATCAAATTACTTTAAAGTATTTTAACGTAAATGTTAAAATTTGAATCCCTGGATTGTTCATTTAAATTTCCAGCTACTGAAAATGCATATTTGAATATAATTATAAATGAAAGAGTAGAATTTTTCAAGTTCATTTTAGTTCCACGGTGTGAATAGTTAGTTCCATCCTCTATTATATATAAAATTTTGTTTGATTTATCAAATTTTTGATCCTTTTAAAAAATATTTCTCATTAAAAATCAATCACTAACATTTAGAAACACGTATCATATTTTCATCATTGTCGAATGCTATTTCAATTGTTGGATCTGATTCCAGAAATGTATTTTCCTCCACTAGAAGATATCCAAATTTAAAAGGCAGCCAAGATTAAGTGATAAGATTTAATTTGAATTCAAAATTTTGTAATTAAAAATTCAGCTAAAATTGGAAAAAAGAAAATTAAAATCACAAATGCAAGCAAATACCTTTCATGCCAATATTAAGCTTTAATTGTAATTATGATTGAATTATTTTAATTTATTTTAACTGCTTAAATTATTTTAATTTTAGCATTGAAATTTTGCTCTAAATAGACAAATTTAAAATTGAAAACTTCTACTGATCCTTCTTTATTGATCAAAATTGTATATATACATATGTATATATAAATTTGTTAATTTATTCATTCCCAGAAACTTTCATTTCTTTTTAATGGCGCATTAATTCAAAAATATAAACTTTCCTGGCAAAATTAAATTTAACGCATATTACGCTCTCACAACGTTCCATTAATAATTTGATTTTTTTTTTTTGAAAAAAAATTTTAATACTCTCTTTATATTGGAGAGTAAATTTTTTTGTTAATTTTTTATCAAATATTTTCTGCGCTTCTTTTAATCGATCGGATCGATTCCGAATTTCCTTACCATAATCCGAGGCAGAATCGATTTTTCGAGAATGTGAAAAGCGATAATTGGAGATTTGTTTCTTCTTGTTGAATGATGGACTGAATAAGTCATCAGTTGAATTTGTTTCATAAATTCGTTCAAATATTTTGCCTGCATTTTGTGCTCCATTTGTTGTGATTGAAGTAGAAGTGGAAGTGTGAAAGTTGACAAAATTATCCCGAACTGTCATATACTTTTGAATCGAAGGTCTTGCTTTAAAATTTAATAAAATTCGAACGAAAATTTAAATCATCATAAATTTTACAAAAGTTAACCGCGTCGGTCATCAAATTCCATTCTAAAATATTGAAATAAAATATTTCAAGCCATATTAATTCTCAAAGATGAATTTTCTGATAAAATTTTGTTATAATTGTTCAAAAAAAAAAAAAAGAAACATTTCTTTTTGTAGCATAATCTAAATATTAGCAATGTGTTTAGCGTTACTGTCAAATGAATTTAAATCCGTCTAATAAAATTAGCAATCATTTTTGCACATACATTTGCTTTTCTCATCTTATATTTACTGTAAATGAGAAATTTGAAATACAGAATGAGAATTCAATAATGCTTTTTTTTTTCGTAGAGTTAAAAGTGGAAATTTAAATTTTTAAAACAAATCCACAGATTTTTTAATGTCCAGTATAATTCCGATGAAATAGGATTTATAATGCGTAAAACAAAATTTTACCAATCATTTTCCAAAAACAAACACATATATATATATATATTTTCATATTACTGACCATTATTTCTTTCTTCATCAAGCACTGGAAGTGCAGCCGGTAATTCATTTCGTATATACACTAAAGAAATAGGAATTGAACAATCATAATTAAATCAGCAATCTCTCATTACAATTTGCCATTCATACACTGCATGGTTTAAATAAAATTTATTCAAAAATTTGAAAATTCATTAAATTTTTTAATTTAATTTATAGAAATCTTCGTGGAATATTTTCAACAAATTTTACAATTCAGATTTCTAAAAATTTTGCATTGTAATTTATTCATAAATAAAATTTGTTTATGAAGTAATTAATTATTTTCTCCTAGAATTATACCATTTCATCATTCAAGATCATTCAAACGTGCAGTTCTGTTATTTTATTACTCAATCAATCTTACCGCAATTCATTTAATTCTGAAATTTATAAAAAACTTTCCTTGTAAAAAGAAAATGATAAATAAAATATTGCCAAAATGTAAAATTTGCTCATATTTGCATGGTTGCACGCATGCAAAAACAGTGGAACGTTTTTTATTAATTTTTTTTTTTTTGAATGAGATGTAAATTTTTTTTTTCATATTTTCTTCAAAAGAAGAAAAAAAAGAATTTCCTCGAGACCAAAAATTTCTATAAAATTAAAAAAAAAGTCGAAATAAATGCATCCCTTTTCACCGATCGAATAATTTTATTTAAATGCTTTTTTTCTTGTTTGAAAGAAAAACATTTACTGTTTTACATCTAAAAATGAGGAAATAATCGAAAAATATTTTAATTCAACCTATTAATTTTATTATCAAAAATAATTTTTCTAGCACTTTTTTTGTTCAGAAACTTTTTTTTTAGTTCAAAAACTTAAAAAAAAGTTTTGTTTTAAAATCAATTTTTGTTATTTTTTATCAATGAAAAATAGTAAAGTGTTACTCTAAACTTTTTTTTTTAGTTCAAAAAATTTAAAATCTTTGATCAGTTCTTCTCGTTTTTTTTTTTTTTTTAATCTGTTAAAATGATAAAGCATTACTTTTGCCAGCTTTTTCGGTAAATTCACCAGTCCCATTCATTTTTGCAGTATATTTTGCAGATTGCAATACCAATTCTGTAAATGATATTTATGTTCTATTTTAATAACAATTTCATACTTTTTTTGTCATTCAAAAAAAACGAGAAAATAAATAAATGAAATTAACATTTATGTCAATTTAAAAATTAACAAATATTTTGAAAAATTTTGAAAATTTGCACAAAAAAAAGATGGCTGACCTTTGTCGAGAGCGCATCCAAATGAGGTAATTGCATCAACCAGAATATAAACACCGGAATTTTGGCATTTCGATCGTACCACAGGTAATATGCAATCAAAAAATGCTGGCATACCAATACATTTACCGGTTCCATAGGTATATGATAGGGTATCCTGAATATGTCGCCAACAATGTTGATCTGACATTAATGCACTAAAATTTAAATGTACTTTAAAATTTGATGAACAGAAATATGATGTTTTGAGTTCAATTTAAATTAGCTAATTTCATGCATTATTACTAAATTTTTTTTTTCTTCGAAGAAGTTTTTTTTTTTTTTGATTAATCAGATCACAAAAACATACTTTTGCTAACTTTTTCAAATGAAATTACAACAAGATAATATTTAAATTAAGCAAAAAAAAATGAAGCTAAAATTTAATGGAAAATTTAGTTATTTCATTTTAATGAACAAATTTTTATTTCGAAAAACAAATTATCCTTGTTATTCAAATCTCATCTATTTCAAATGCAAAAATATTGCATATATCAATAAAATAATTTCCCATTGAAATTTAAACAAATTAAAAAAAGTGAAATAGTTGAAGAATTTTCCTTTTGTTTGAAATAATTTCATTAATTATAATTTACTTCGCTCATTTAATTTTGCCGTAATTTTAATTAATTAATCTTAGAGAAAAATTTAACTCAAAAATTAAAGAAAAATAAATAAATAAATCGTACTTGTGAAGGCAATCAAATTTTCCAAAAGCAAGTTTAGCTTTATTGCCACAATAATAGCGCATATTACGTTGTATGAAAATTATCAGTTCGTTACGTTTGCATTTTTCAAGTACTTCAGTTGTCATACATGTTGACTGACTGTCATGATAAGCACTACAGAGAAATAGTACCGATTCTCGAGAATAAAATGGAATCTATAAATGCGAACAATTCATTTAATTAAGTTTAAAAATATCATCATCCTAATAAAGTACCGTGAAATTGAATAAAATTCTAAAAAAGCAAAATGTTGAAGAACAAAATTGTCAATTGATAGTTTCAGATTGATTACCATTATTGAAATTATCGGATTATCAATTTTACGATATTAAAATAAATTGAAATAATTAAATTGAAGCAAATTTAAGTTTAAAAATTTCAAAGCAAATGAAAAAATATCATTTACTTTTTTAATTCTAACTTGAGCAAACTGTATTGAACTGCAATTATTAATGTTAAATTTTATTAAACGGAAATAAATAATTGAATAAATTAAATTGACATGCATTTAAATTTAACTCAAACAATTTATATCTGTAAGCTTTCAATGTAACTAGAATGCATTTCTAAAATAGTTGATTTAAAATTTAGGGAAAATTTTCGGTGAATTTTTTGCCACGTTTTTTTTGTCATGAATTTTATTTTTTAATTGATGAACAATAAAAGGTGAATTTTAAATCATTGTAAAAATTCTATAAAATCATAAGTAGTTAAATTTATAATGATAATTTGATAAACA